AAAAGTTAATATTTTCAGAAAAACAATGATATTGACTGTAACTATAGTGAAATGATGAGAATACTTACACACTATATTTATTATTTAAGATAAAACAAAAATTAATAGTTAATATTTTCAGAAAAACAATGATATTGACTGTGACAATAGTGAATTGATGAGAAAGAATACTTACAGTCTATATTTATTATTTAAAATAAAATGAAAGCCAACAGTTAATATGTTTTCAAAAACAATGATATTGAGTGTAATAAAAGTACAAAAAATACTTACACTATTTATTATTTAAAATAAAATGAAAACCAATAATTAATATTTATTCAAAAAACAATGATATTGACTATAATAATAGTACAAAAATACTTACAGGCCTATTTATTATTTAAAATCAAATGAAACCCAATAGTTAGTAATTTTTTAAAAACAATTATATGAATATAATGATATTTACTTCGCTTCACCAAATTATTGTTATGAGTTGAGCTTGCTAAAGCCACCACAGCAAAGATAATCAAAAAGAGAAGAGAAATATTGAATTTCATTTTGATTTGTTCAGATAATTTTTGTCAAGTTTTTCTTGATTTTCAAATTGTATAGGATTACTGTAAGAGTATTTATAAAAAAAGGAAAGCTTTGTTATTATAATTAGGATTTAAAGCTGATTTGTTGGTCGAAATACATATGCAAACTCGATAAGTTGGTCATGTGGGGTGAGCTCACATGACCGACTTATCGAATCCGATTTATCGAATTAAATTACTTAAATATTAAGAAAATGGGGTGAAAATTTTGGCCGACTTATCGAGTTTACATATGTACCTTAATTCCGAATCAAATCATTTTATTTCTATTTATATATCTTTATTATATTTCTTATTTCATTACTTATTTTATTATTATAAAATTTTTTAATATTTAGTTTTTTAGACTTAATTCTCAACGACCTTTTCTTCTTCGTTTGGAAATTACCGAATAATTTTTTCAAACAGGCTAAGAAGCCGTAATAAACGTCATTTAATACTTAATATTAATATTAATATTAAATTTAATTTGTATTATATTTAATGTCTGCCGATATCGAATGTTGCTATTGTATTTATATACGTATAATAATAATATATTTCATTTATTCAAAAAAAAAAAAAAAAAAAATGCAAAGACATTGTTCTTTTGGCATTTATAGCAATTGGCACAAAAGAACTCGATTAATTTTTGTCACTTATATAGTGTTTAGAAAGGTCATTGGAATTGCCAACATAAAAAATTAAACATTAAAAACAACACA